AGATTAGTTATTAAGTCACGGTGCCTATTATCCTACATACTGCAACATGTTAGCGGTATGTTTTTGTGAGCCATATTTTTAGTCACTACACGGACTTGCAATTTGTGGAGAATTTTACGAATAGTCAGACTCACTTTACTGAAAGCTGACTACGCTTCTTTATCGTACTCGAATATACTCATTGTGTGTATCGTTAAAAGGTGACCTATCGATCCTTAGAATGGGACGTTTGCCTACCATATAAGGTACGAGAGCCGCGCAAGCGACCATGCTGCATCACGTTTTTTTCACACATCTACTATCATAATGAGCATGAACTGTTCCATATATCTAATACATTATACATTTATTTGATGATATAAGACCCAAACGTAGAACGCAATTTTTTTATATTAAAAATTTTTAGCGTCGATTTATCATTCACTTCACAACAGTCAAAGAAAGAAGCGACGGTAATAGTGTTACAAAGATATACGTCGCCGAGATAAGGTCAACGATTTAAATTAACGAACTTAGGGTAATCTCACTCGGAAAAACCCTAAGTGTTACGTCGTTGAACACGGACAGTGAGACCTCTGCAGTTTAAGGGCACGGCGTTTTTCCACTTCACTATGTTGAAAGCTATGTACACCATGTACAGTACAATGAGTATAAACGAGTTACGTTACCCGCAGCCCGATTGACTTCACACTGTAGCGACAGTCAAGTAACTTACATACACATGCATAAACTGGTAGAAGGAGCGAGTCACCGCCCCTTCCTCCCGCATCGAAGGGTGCTACCTGCGTCGTCATCGTTTTAAACCGCCTAACCTCCGACGGCCGGGTTCCGCATTATCCGGATGGTTTTGCTGTGGTTACCGTTGCGTTTATGCCGGACCGTTCGTTACCATTACATCTCCATGGGGATGAAGAAGTACCATTCGTCTTTCTCAGGTGCCCCAGTGCCCATTTCTCCCTTCCGCCTCTTTGGGTCCCTTCTTTTACTTCACCTTTTACCATCTATTCTACCCTTTTCTCTTCTTTCTTTAGCTACATCAGTTCTGAGTGGGTAATACGTGTATTGTGGTCGGTCGTTTATTAGACGCTTTATTAGAAATGCGTGTGTTCAACTTTTCGCATATGTGAAGCGCAGGGTTGTGGACGGTAGCGCTCCTATAGAAAGTGAGAATAGGCAAAACAGGCCCAAGCAGATGTTTTCTCTGAGCTGCAGAAAAATTGCTGCCAACCACTTCTACAGGGCTGTACGCGTCGTAGTATCCATGGTGGCCTACATGGGAGTCTCATCAACAGCTAAATCTCGTCTAGCGCAGCCTCTACATCGTCGTTTTCCTTTCACAGCACCTCTGCGTCTATATCTTCTTGTTGCATACCGGATTCATGGCCACACGAAAAAAAAATAAGCAGACCATTGTTACAGCTTCAAACGGATGGAGTTTGATAGAGGAAAAGTGCTACTCAAGAAAGGGGCTGTTACAGAAAACAAGCCTTTCATCCGTAGCTTCTTACGGTTTCGTCCGGGTTCCTGTCATGGCCTATGTCGGCAAACGTAATAATGTTTTGGAGGCTACGTGAGCTTTAAATATCCGTAAACAGAAAAGCTGAGTCGCCTCGTTCACGCAAGACGTTGCCATGTCACGAGTCTTACAAGAACATCTCAAATCGGCACTTTTCAATCTTTGCGGCATATAATATACTTTACCAGTTGGGACTTTCTGGCTCCATGTACTCTATTTCATTCCATCGGCCGCTGAAGTAGACAGGCTGACGTAATACTGGGCATGAGACAGACTGAAATTCTAAAACTTATGCAACCATGATGTTTCAATGGCATACACATATATGTGGTCGATCAGTTTGTCATCGTATATTTATTATGGTAAGTCCTGTCCTCCATAAAGCCAAACGTACCCTAGCCTTTTACGAGCTTCACCGAGCTACTGAAACCATATAATTCAATATAAGGATTCACAGAAAAAAAGCGTGTAGATGGCATAGATCCTCGCCTGACCAGATGCATTCCTCACTAACCTATTTATGCTATCCTCGTCCTAATCGTTATAGGTTTTTAGCGATGGTCTAAGCAATTCTCGTGCGCAACGCTCCTCGGCTACATTCATTAGAGCGACTGAATGTATCTACCCATACTACTAGTCACCATTACTCGCTCGCCGATATTCGGCCTTCCGTTCGATCATGGCTAGTCGTCCGTTGGACCCGTCGTTCGACTACAGCCATAAGTAAAACCTATTTCGCACCCGATCTCCCTAACTGTATCTAGCTTTTAGCCGCAACAAAGCGGCGAAGCAGAAATAACATCTCAATGCATTCATTCTAACAGGGATAAAAATATGTGCCAATCATTAGAGAATAGAGGTACAGTAATTCAAGTCTAAAAATGCATCTAATAAGGCGGCAGCGTCGTCCTGTATCACATCGTTCGAAACACCATTATCACGATACTAAATTCATACATAGACGCAACGACATCATCGTAATTAATCGTCGTATATAGTATTAGATGATAGAACAACTGTAGCTAAGGAGAGAATATCACATAGGTAACGACACTCGGGGTACACGGTTTTTAATTAAGGTAACCTTAGAGTTACATATTGAGCTACCTTCAAATCCTTGAAATGAGATTACCGTCAAGGTTTTATAGAAAGACGAGTACGGCCATGACTGAGGTAGAGCAAAAATAGATTTTTCGTTTAAATATGAGCATTTCAGCATAGATGAATTTCAGGGTGCAGGGAAGGACACGTATTTACTCGTATCTTCTACAAACATATTGATGACTACAAAATCTGGAATACGATTCTTTAAGCACAGCCAGAAGTCACGCGTACACCACACACGCCTAAAATCTCTAGAAATATATGTAGTAGGTTCTAGTTTAGCGCGACAAGGGTTTCCATCAGTTCCCACGCTCCCATGAGACTAACTTTTCCCCTTAGGTATTTCGGAAGCTTAGTACATTTCTAAATAACCAGGCTGCTCTGTCTAGCGCAATGGTTGCTACTGCTGAAACGCCAAGCTATATCCTTGAATTTTTTGCCACCGCTTTTTTTTTGCTCAGCAACTGCTATCCCGGGCTTGTCTTTGCCTTCATGCTTACTTCGCTACAGATGCTGCAATTCCTTAACTGCCTCGCTGTTTCCCTTTGTACCCTACACGCAACTATTATACTATTCTACCGATGAGTCTTGCATTTTTCCATTCCCATGCTTTTTCATAGAGCTGGGTCCTTTCTTATATCGCTTTCCTCATTTCGTCTTGCGATTGTTCACTTAGTTTTCCACTACTTTACCTTCTTTACAACAATCATTGGCTGTAAAAGATATTCAGTGGGGACCAGTCGGTCTCCGAGGGGTCGCCAGTAGACATCGATCATCTACTGGCGACCTCTCGGACAAAGCATTGTGGTAGCGATGGTAAAAATGCTGACAGCTCAGCTGTCTATACACCCTTTGATAACTGGGTCCCTTTGCCCAACCAGCATCCGTTATCCCAATAGACCCTTGGCATCGGTAGGTCCTTTTTCTATCCCAGCTTGTCGAGTTTACGTTCGTCGCTGTACATCAGCAAGCCACAGGTAACTCGCCTATCTCTCCAAAATTTCTAAGCGAACGGGAAGGCTTTGTTTCCAATCTCTTTATTTCTGCACAGACTTTACACGCTCATTTTCCTCTTCTAAGTACACATCGCCTCTCTGTTTACGAAGTCCGACCACTGGATTTTCACCAGCATCAGAACTCAGCGAGAAGTTGAAATGTGTATACGCATACCTCCATAATCAACTGTTTTTGAAGCTAGATCGGTCAATCCGCGTGATAGCGCAGTGTACTCCCCTTCGGAGTCGCACACAAAATATGGAGTACCTTCCTGCTTGCCCAAATAGCACTTGTTGTCACGTGTTTATGAGGCATAATTCTTATGTACTTTAAAGTCCAAGCGAAAAAAAACAGTTATAAAGGCCAGCTGTACTGACAAAAGTTGAAAAATTAAGTGGATAAGCACCCGAAAAATCAACCGAACAGCATAAAATTTAATAAATAGATAAACTTTTCCAAGCCTAAAAAACAACATATACAAATATACAGACTTGGTAAATGTTTACAGCACGCCGTTTAAGAAATCTATTAGAGGAACCCCGGATAGGTCCAGCAAGACGTAAATCGACTAATTCTTTTAGTGAGGGCAAGTTTTCAATGCTGTACGAAAGAGGTGTTTCCGACGACCTATTAACATTAGGAATAGCCAAAGGCGTGCACCAATCCTGAGTATCTGCTAATGTTTAGCTCAGAAAGGCGTTTCCGCTAAACTTTTACTATCCAACGCTACATCGCAGTCATACGTTTAAACGGCACATTCGAACTACATAGTACATGGTGTTCATGAGGACTTGACGAGTTTCTATATCTTCCTATTGTAAACCCAAAAAATGGGCTCGATTTATCGCTGTTTCGGCTACTCCTGTGAAGAACCGAGCAGCAAAGGTAGATACTACAAAATTGGCAAGGTGAAAGCATGAAAGGAAAGGATGACGTTGGCATAGATACCAGCGTCGTTCGTTCTTCACAAAGGCCCACATAGTGTGGACAGCCGAGGGGCAAAGGCCGAGTTGCATTGGTAATGTATCGCTACTCCGCATTGTTTCAAATTTATGGGGATACTGTATGCTAACGAAGCAAAAAAAAAAAGCGCCTCTATCGAGTACCATATATATATATATATATATGCTTCAGTATACACATGTTAAAGCTTGCCAAAAAGCGTTCGGTCATATGGTATTTGGCAGTAGTCAGCGAAGACAAACAGTTACGGCTTCAAAGTTACGTTGCGAGTGCGATACGTTTGTTAAATACCAAGCCTATGAATGACATAGTAACAGAATAGAAGTTGTTTTTACTACGAATTGTTTGGATATCTAATGAAACGAAGAACATTTTAACGTTTGCCTACCTTGCTTAAAATCTAGATCTGTGCGATACTCACCAGAAAGATCTCAACTGCTCCGGTAACATACATAGCAGCGGCTACCGTAGTTGCTAAATAGAACAATATCCCTACAGCACCACCGAATTCGGGACCCAGTGATCGAGATATCATAAAGTACGATCCGCCGGCTGGAACTATGCCGTTTGTGGCAATTGCAGACAATGAGATGCATGTTGTGAACGTCTGAAATATAATAGCCAAGATAATTTGTCAGTAATTTTGTGAAGATTATAGGACATATGCAAAATAAATCTTGTCGACACTTAATCTTATTGAACATGAACAAAACGTCGAACCCAGCTGAGTAAAATAATATTCTGAAGAAGACATTACGCATGGCACAGGCCTAAACATTCGGCATGTAGAAGGGCTAATCTAGGGTTAATCTAGACATACTTATACTAGCCGTTTAGCACAACAGTCATACGTTTGACAGCCATCTTTACTACAGTAAAAGCGGTAACACGTTAGCAACAAATGGGCAAATTTTTCATCGTAGAAATGGTGCATTTTAACAAAGTTCAGCCGTTGTTTACTACTTTCACATTAGACAAACCCAACGGAGATGGTACGCTTACCCGGTTGTCCGAAGCAAATAAGCCCTAACATTTAGTCTCTTGCGGAGCCTTCGCCGTTTAGGATGTTTGTTTAGGCCTGTAGATTCTGACAACATTTAGCCTGCCATCAGTTTAGAATTTAAATGCGTTGAGGTTTTTGTATGAGGCATGTTTAAAAGCATACTTCGACAAGCCTTCGTTTTTCTTATGTTTGCTATTGAAGAGTAATTCGCAATTACAAAGATAGTACTTTCCGCAATAGCTTGGGATCTGCCTCTTAGTACACTCTATGAGATCAAAGTAAAAGTAGCTACTTCAAACCTTAACTGCATTTATGTTATGGTAAGTAGTTCGGTGCCTATGAAAAGTTGTCTAGAGGATATAAATAGATATTAACAAACGCATTTCCCGCTGGTACAATGATATAGAAGAGAACGTTCCAACGAGTTTACACGATGCCAAATGATTATAGATACTAATCATGATAGAATTTCTTTTTTACATTTGGTTCATAGCAGTTCTATTCAGCAAAATTTCGCACCGTCTTACACATATATAGTAATATTGCAGTAAAAAAAAAAAAAAGACATTTTCTGAAAAATCTCAGCGCGTACGTGATTGTGTCGCACTTCCCGTCTTCGTAAACCTAAAGGCATTTTCAATTCACAAAAATCAGGGGTATAAAAATAGGTTTCCCTGAGCATTCGAAGTAAGACGGTATCGTGTGCGCTTCGACACTGCTGCATACTTCATAGAAGGTCGTACAGGCAGATACAATTGTACGCGCGCATTTCAAACTCATCTGCATACAACGCTGAAGATATTTTTGGCCTTTTTATATACAACACAAGGTTAGTAGCGATTAGCATAATAAAACAAAGTGAGTAAAAGCTAAATCTTGTCTCTTCAAAGGGTTTAGTCGTTTGATGAAATGCGCATCTACCACTTATGTCTCTGTATCGAAACTCGATGACCGGACCTTAGACGCTGGCCTCCAATAGAAATATTTTTAGCATCACAATAGCTAATATTTCGTTTAGGCAAAGCTTTTTTTCATTGATTGGCTTAATCTGGGCAAATTATTTTTATCTTCGTAGAACAAAAATTTTGTTTACTTCTATTAATAACGTATGACACGGATACAACGTCTCGATTTTCTCCAATCGTAATACGGAGAATTTCCGAGACAAAGAAAACATTTTCCACTTCAGGAGCTGTCCTGTGTGAGCACGTTTTGGCTTTGCTACTAAAAACATTGCCAACTGCCGCCTTCAGCGGCCGCCAGACCATCCCTGCTGGCCGTACGCTTTTTCAATATAAGTTCATATGGCACTAGCTGTTAACTAAATACGATTCCGATCTTTCTGTTACGTATAATTAGCGCTGTTGAGATATATGGAAACCTTGTCACTTGTCTGAGTGTCGTCAGAGCAATGACGAAGTCTTATGTCCAGTAAGTAAACTTACTTGAGTTTGGGTAAACAACGAGTTGGGTAAATTTAGAGTATTTTAGGTAAAATTGGATAAGTTACCGAAAGAAAGGCAAAGATTAATAATTATTTCTGTCTAGCGCAGGTACTTATTCGCGCACGCAATATTGAATCAGAAACAATAATCGAGGTCGAGGCATTTTAATATTTATGTTTGTTAAAAATTAGGCCGACAACGTACACTATCCAACGGAACTTCAATAAAATGAGCTCGATATTCGTTCATCACGTTACGATCATATTTGCCTGTTAGACCACCTTTGTGTTGAAATCACAGGGCTTCCGTGCTATATACGTGCTAACGTAGCGTTTTCTCTTAACGCATACATTTCCCACTTTTTCGATGATGCACCCATGCATTGTGTAGCCACTAAGAATTTTGTCAGGTTCTATAGTGATAGATATATGGCTAAGCCATCTTATCCCCTAATCCGGAAAATTTTAGAGAGAGAGGACGGAGAGGGAGCTGGAATTAGTTTCTTTAATCAAATTGAGTGTAAAATTCTATCATCGCGCAAGTTCCGACGTTTACAGCGGTTCAGCTTGCCGCTGTCGTTTTCGTTAGATTCTTCCATTGGAAGCTTATTTCGTTCTGCAGGGTCACCGGCGAACTGGTCGAATGGTTGATTTACACGGCGGCACTGCTCTTGCCCTACGTTGGCGGAAACCTAGTCTGTGGTACAGCGTTTACAAGGACAGACGAATAAACTTGAGGCAAAACCATAAGATAATTGGATATGCCCTTAACTATTTTTCATGTGTTCCCTGTTTCTTTTTACTTTCTTAGCATCTTTGTTGATTATTGCATTTGGGAATAAAGTGGCGTGGAAAGCGGAGAGCTGCGCTTTGGCCTTATGCACGCGCAAAATAACGCGTTCGGGGGTTCCATTGGCACCATACACGACGTATAGAGACCGCAGAAAACGTGTCGTGCTATACATGTTGTGGCGATAAATTCCAGCTAATACTACCTATTGGATACGATGTTATTTCAGCCTTACACCGTCAATAGAGTGGTTTGTCCAGGTATGCAGTAGAAGTCGCAAAGCCAGATCGCAGATGCGGGACGTTCGCTTTCGAAGGAAAATGAACAATGCTTAATAAGCAAGAATGAAGAGCAAATAACTTGGCGTGCACTGTTTGGCAAAAGGGCATTCTCAGGATGCAAGTAACGTGAATGCACTTGCGTGATTAAGTGTGGTGCTACCTTTGCTCCGAGCAGTGTCGGATACAATAATCGTTATCACTGCGACTATTTGTTCCGCGTGACTCTAGCCATCGACAAATGGTTGTCCTATTACAATCTTTTTGACATGCGATTGAATGGAAACAAGACGGCCAGTTTTTCTAAATTATACTGAATTTATTATTATAATATAATAAGAAAATTATACTGAATCGCAGTAACAGGGAGGCCAAAAAAAGACCCAGGGGACAACACGGGGTTAAAGGGGGAAGTCATTCAGTTTGATAATTGCTGTGCCGCTGGCACGCTCCCGCTTCAATCCACTGTGTTCTCTCAAAATGGACAAACTTACCGGGGCTCAAAAAACGAAAACGTTTCTTTTCTAGAACGACACTCGCTCTTAGCAGCGGCGCGGTGGCTATTCCTTGGGTATGGCATTAGGAAAGCCAACTTCCTAAGAACTGACAGCAACTACAAATGTGTTCAAATTCACTGTGATACTGTTTGGAAAACTTAAGTCACGGCGACTGAAGTCAAGATTAAATTTTTCCTCTCGCTGCACTTGCACTGAGGCTCGGAGAAAGTTGAACTTACTTGACGGCCACTTGCATAAAATGACTACTAATAATATGCGTTTATATCGGCTAGTTAATTATTCCAGCAAATGGACTCGTTCGTATAGTAGTTAGAGCTGTCCCTGTGTTCATACTCTATTTCGTAGTCGTCGACCGAACGCGTGTACGACTAGAGGTGTCTCTTAAAAAATTAGAAGTAATTGGTCCCGATCTGTATACAGTCATACATTCATGAGAAATAGATCATAGTAATTCACTTATTATCGAATTTGTCTACATACTGACATTTAACGGAAGTAATTTGCATCAACCAAACAGTTACTAGAGCGTTCAGTAAACTTACTTCACCAATCACTTGTTAAAAAAGGAGGGCTAACTGCATAAGTTTCCTCGCAAGCATGACCAGGACTTGTACCAGCATGCGCCGAAGAAGAGGCGATTTTTTTTACGATCATACAAGGTTTGAAACTTAGGCTCGAAGTGGACGTCCTGCATATGGCAAATAGGTCCAAAATATGAAATCGCACAGCGTCTTGATTTCGTTGTTCCTTTGTCATGTGCTGTTGCTTTACCAAAAAGGAGGAAACTGTGTGTCGCAGGGGAGGAAAATATCGATATCGCTGCATCATGTCGCATACGATATGAACATGCTCAATACCAACGGCAACTGAAAAATAAGACGGAACCACGCAGAAGCTGCTAGAGCTAAACTTGGCGACGTAGCTGCATTCAGTGGTCCTTTTAGGTAGCAAAAGGCTGACGGGTCTAGCCAAATTTCATGTCCTTCTCTGCCTGTTATCGAGCGCAATATCCCCTGTAAATTTTCTGTTAAGCACCTCGGGCTTTTTTAGACGCGGCCCTGACCCGGCATCGCACTTCGTATTAAATACAAACGCCGAAAATTTTTTGGCTATCGTTGGAAGGAATATATATGTAAGCATAGTGAGTATTGACACTATACACTTGGTTTTTCCGCCCAATTCAAATCTATTATGGATAGCGCGGGTTTGAAAGAGAGGAGAACATGACGTTGACATCTCGTATCTCGTCATCAGCGAGAAAAGACAACAAATACCAGTAGGGAAATCAATATACTCGATGCCTGGGTACGAACGGAGTAAGGCAGAATGGTGCGAAAAGCGCGAGGTGCGAATACGTCATCCGCGGGGCTGTTGGAGTTGGAATATGATGTTACAGCTGTAGTAGGAACACGGCGATACGTATTGAGACAGAAACAAGATTCGTTTACCTCTGTATTTCAGCTCGATGTATACGCAGCATAGAACGTTCAACGTAAAAACGTACGGAGAACGTGAAATCCGTCAATACGGCCTCCGACCGCTGAAAGTGCGGTTGCCCACTCAGTGGCGACGCC